GCTTGCTTGGTTCTATTTCATTTAGTTCCTTTTCTGGAGATTTCTTCTTTTCTTTCCTTTGTGACATGTTTCTTTGCCTCCACATTTTGGATGCTTCCTGCTGTTCGTTTCTATGTATTAGGTAGAGCTGCTATGTCTCCTGGAATTGTAGAGTGGCTTTGTGTAGTAGGTGTCCTGTAGGATCCAGTGGCTAAGCCTCCCCAGTCACCTGAGCTGGGCCTTCTAGGTGCTCCCCTGTGTGGGCTGTTGTAGTTGAGCCTTGGTTACTGTTGGCATCACTGGGAGGAATTGACCCGCAGGCCAGTCAGCTGTGAGGACCTGCTTAAACTATAGCCAAAGAGCTGCTGTGCTGGAGACACCCCTTTGGAGCAGGATTTACTTCAGTGGAGCTTCGGTGTTCACCAAGTGCACCCCTTGAGTGTGTCACTCATGGATGTGGTAGGGTTGTAATCCAGCATGATCGAGTCTTACCACCAGGTGCACTGTTTCTGGGCCTTCCGGGAGGTGCAGTCAGCTTCTGCCAGTGCCTTGCCCAGGGCCACCCAACATGAGCTACACAGCAAACCGTAGTTGGCTGCTACTTGTGCTGGACTTGGCGGTGTCCAGGAGAGGCCAAACTATGAGCCAATGCAGGCTGCCACTAGTGCCAGGCCTGAGGCCACTTATCAAGCGCTATGGAGCATGCTGCTGCTTGTTTGAGAGATTTTAGGAAAGTTGTAAGCATGGGGCTCAAGAGGCCATTTGCATAGAGAAGCCACTGGAAATGGCTTGGATGAGCTTGCAGGTAGGGAGGGGTGGGGTCAAAGGTGTGAGTCAGGTGTTGGAGATTCAAATATGGCACCTGCCTGCCGGCAGGGTCTGAATGCTTCTTTAGTTCCCTGGTTGTAGGAATTCTGTTCAGCTAGATTTCAGGAGGTTCTGAGTGATGGTTGTTTTGTATTTTAGTTGTAATTTTGATGTGATTGTGGGAGATGGTGGGTACAGCTGTTACCTATGCCACCATCTTGTTTCTGTTCTAAGAAATCATTTTTATAATAACTTTATCTTGCTATCCCATTTTGACAAGTTGTT